ATACGCCTCGCTACTTTTAAATTACATTCAGTTTGAAACACTGTTGTGTAAATGATAATCCGTTGTTGGAAAAGCTTGTACCATGCAATATATTATCTACTATGCAAATATAGGTATATGTTTACATAATTTTCATTCTCTAAATATGACAGCAATGCCTCAGTCACAAATATGTACAGACAGTATTTATAGCAGTCAATATTGCTTTTTCTGGTAGGCATATAGTAAGAGAAAAACATTATGCAAATACAGTGTTTTGTAGTACATTCACTGTGCACAGGTGAGACACTGGGGACAGTGTCACTGCCTTGTTATTGCTTGTAGTTTTAACATTAAATGACTCACTTAATTTACTTAATTATTAATAAATTTTCATTGATATCTGAGCAAGTAATCATTGTATTGCAATGCAACTTGATATATGTGCCAAGATATAACGCAAAGACATGGATAGTTTGGGTTAGATATATGTGCATATTGTTGTATTGTAGCATAATATACATAACTTTAACACTGAACAACAGTGCAATAATGGCATCAATTGATCAGACTAGAGTAAAAATAAGTCACGTTACCTCATCAAAATGCATGCAAAACAATGTTTAACATACAACGTTTAAATATTCCATGTTTTTACTTCATGTACCTCAAATGCTCTACGCACACAGAAGCTCTTTCATAATGGCACATTCAGTGTGTCAAAGTCGTCGGGCATTTGCTGTTATCACAAGTTTGAATCACATATTTAGTATTGTAATGTATGTATTTTCGGAAACACATTATTTTACATGTTTGGTGATTATAACACACACACACACATACGTAGCAATGAGTGGAATTGTTTAAAGATACGTGTTGGTGGTCAGTATTAGAACTCGAGTACAAATGGCAAATAACGTATATGAAACACAAAATCATTATTATGACAAAAACCGTGCAATATTCCAACAATGTCAGATATACTCAACATCTTCACATTTGCTCGGAGAGTGTAGTCCGATTGTTCTTGGTCAGCACACAACACTAAAGTAGTTTTGGTTGAACCAAGGTGTAATAGATGACATAAGAAACGGTCTAACAACAGATTTTTTTAATGAAATGCATCGAAGGGGATTTACACTAACACTTACCACAGGAGAATGGACATTGTTCATTTCCTCCAAATCCAAATTAGTATTATTTTATGAAATGATGTTTACTGGTGGTTTGGACCAATTTACATGCTCATTACAGCGATTCCCAACATGGAAATACAGATATAATAAGAGTATGACATAATTATTGGATGTGTTTGCACGCAATCTCCGCTTTTAAGTTGAAGTATAGTATAATATTTGTAGGGAAAATAGATACTATGAAATTATTAAAGTTTGTGGTTAAGAGGTGCAATAAAGTAAATGATTTCACATGCTTAATACAGCTGATATGTCCAGCTTGTTTTTGTTATTACTTATTATTAATACTGTATTTTAGAATGGATACTACACCTATTACGTTGAGCAGTATAGAAATAAATACACTATCGACTCCACAATCGTTTCTGAGGAGATTATCGAGCAAGATTCATTGAATGTAATTTACAAGAGAAAGACAATGGGAACTCCCCTGCTACTGAGGCATATATGTTGAGAGTGGTAGTGAAACATACACTAATAAAAGAATAAGGAGGTATGTGATAGACTTGGAATTCGATTTTGGTTGGGCGCGGCCTATTCATGACACGCCGCGTTCTCAATGGATGATAGGAAATATAAGTAGCCTTGTTATCAGGCGGTAACCGATCAGTGATTAAGTTCTTTGCACGACTGTAAAAATAAGAATGTATGTGAACAAGAAATGTCCATCTGAAATACAAGAGTTTACATATAAATTTCTTCAGACTCTAAATAACCGACCGGATATGACAGAATGGGCTCAACTGCCGGACGTCATTTATTGGAGTTGTCAACGCCTTTGCCCTGTTATCTCACACTGATCTGCAGCTAGTCTTTGAAGGCGTATAAACATAATGTCATTCACAATTCTAGTACATTGTATTCTACGGTATGATCAATGTACAATGAACACTGGCGTAAATAACCTAATAATGTAACATATTGTGTTTTGTACAAGACCAAAATATCTGCGTATATACGCGTCGGATGCAATTTTTTACAATAATCATGATACCATTACGAATTTGAATAAAGCCGTCTCGAGAGTGGTCCTAGTGATCCCGAGCTGTGTATGAATGTAAAAGTTTGAATTTCAAAGAAAATGTTTTACAACGTCTTTAAATTATTCCGTTGCTATTGTAACTGGTAGCCTGGCTTTTCAAACCTTTACTTATACTGTTCCAAACGATACACACCCTCCGTGTGTACATTGGATGTCACGGTGTCGACAGTCATCTAATCATGTTGACAAACGATTTGACAATGGAATTACAATTTTGCTTGACAAATTGCATGAATTTAAACAAACACACTCAAAGGTATATAATATTTTTTTATTTTACCAAATTTTATCATAGGGAGGGCGTTATGTGTGATATTAATTCTAATGCTTTTTATGGCAGAATGCTACGGATATTTCTGGTGAAATAAATTATAATCAATGTATTGATACCGAACATTGAATATGTTAAAAGAGATAGCCTTGTGATTGTTGTTATGTATATGTTGTTCTTAACACAATAAATATCAATACAACAAAAAACAAAAACTTTTACAAACTTTGTATTTTTAATTGCCGTTTATTTTGTAGATATAAAATTATTGCCAGAATATATGAACAGTACAAACCCAGTGATTCAGTAGGTTTTAAAACTCTAACTACATGGAGGTAATTCCTCATGTAAAATAACACACATACTTTACAACAGAATGGCCGGAATGAGTGCTGAACTGCTGCAGATAGACATACTACCCACCACGCCATTAAAACAAACTTGTTGGTGATTCAATCATTCAATCGAATGATGCATGACAAAATTTGAAGATAGTCATATAACTTTCCCAAGATGCAATACGCGGATGTGAGTTATCGTGCATGTAAACTTTATTATATGGCTAGCGACATAGTTTTTTTCTCTCTGTCAATGAAAAGCATGTTGAGAGGAAATAACATCCTTAATTATAGTTATGTGTATACAATTTGTTTTGGAATTTACACGTTCAAGTACACAAAACAAACAAACAACTGACAACTATCGGCAAACAAATACCAGAAATACAAAACAAAACAGCTGTACAGTACACTATACTACAATAATGTGAAGACAAAAATGTGGAACGATGTAATAAACAAAACAGGATCTATTTAGTTATGTAGTATGTCAGGTATTTTTATGCTTCACTGAGGCGCAACGGCTGATTAAGTCTTCTTGTTTAGACTGTTTACTTTTAAAACCTTTTTTGTTTGAAACGTTTACGAAGTTAGCGTTTTTGGCACTTGACAGAGTACTAAATTGGTATATGTAATGCCGTGTATTGGCAGATTTACCCTGTTTTAACACTGCGACAAAGACTTCCCGTTTTTGCCATTGTAAAATTCATTCGTTTTTATGCAGAAAAATACAGTATTTTTACCAAAATAATCATATTGATTAAAGTTATTGTGCATACAGGAATTATTGAAAACACGCTACATAGATTGTAATTTCATTTAGTTTCTTTCAGTGATAATTCAAGACAAATATATGACAAAAAGATAAAGAGTTTCTTTTTTTTTCTGTAATATTCCTGTGTAATCGGAAATTATGAGACTGAATTAAGGGTGCATAGGACATAATTTTGTTATGAATTGTTCTTAATATAAGTTTCTGAATTATCTTGTCAGAATAATTATTTCGTTTTTTTCTTTCTTCAAAAAACCGAGGAATGTATCGTAGTATTTTTCTTGTTTACCATCAGAATAGGTATCAAAGATGTGTTTGGGTTTTCCGTATAGTTTGTTGAACAATAACACTTTTTAGTTTTACATAATTATGATTGAAGTTGAAAAATTGACATTAACAACAATTTATAAATTGCATGCATGATATCATATAGAAGCTATAAAATTTGATGATTATAGTTATAGTTATCGACCTTTTATCACTAAGGAAGATGCACTGTTGCTATTCATGTCATTGTGATTGCACGTCGTTACGACACGAAAGGTAGAAATGCTTGTATGTTCATGCTATCATAAATGATGTTGCATTTATGTCATTGTGATTGCACGTCATTATGAAACAAAAGTTAGGGATGCTTGTATGTTCATGCTATCATAAATGAGCCTATTTAATATTGATTCTTTGAAATATATTGAACAGTTTGATTAAAGACATTTGAAGAAGAACGATAGCGAGACATTCATGGTGGGGTGGTGAAACTCAATATTGACTGACAATTAAAAACAAGAATGGTATGAATGAACTGGCTAGTACAATTCTAAGCAAATGTATTCAAATATTAGCTTTAATAATAATAAATCATCCACGGTGACTACATTTATCATTATTTCATTATGTGATAACAATTGTGGCAATCGGATTGG